AAAAGTTTTGTCGACACTATTTCTCTCCAAGTTGACATCCTTTCCAACAGCTTGCCCGATCAGGTACACTGGGCGTAATTAAATCATGCTCGAGTTGTTCATCATTAAGAGTTAGACTAAAGAACATATTTATGTGTTTATCCTGTAGTCTCAGCTTGCAGAGGAGATCACGTTTGAGACCCTGAAGAAGGCCATCGGTACGTGTGGATTAGTGTCTACTCAGTGTTAGTTTGTGTTTGTACTCTGTGTGTGTTAGCGTCTGATGTCGCTCCATCCCTCTCAGATACCACTGGTCTGGAGGAACAGGAAAGGGAAAGGAGACGGCAGGTGATGGAGAAGTTCCAGAAAGCTCCGTTTGAGGAGATTGCCGCCCACTGCGAGTCCAAGGTACAGCTTGTGTGTTCTGCCAATCAGCTTGCATTTAAAACAATTGGAAAAAATGAGGAATGTTCCAATATGATTTTAATCATGAATTGGCATATATGCAGTAATGTTCAAACGTTTGTGGACAATTTTTGTTGTTGTTGTTTAAGAAAATGTATGCTTTTATTCAGCAAGGACCCATTAAATGGATGAAAACATGACTAAGACATTGATAATAGTACAAATAAATGCTGATCTTTTAACCTTTATATTCAGTCTCCTAGAAGAAATGTATCAAGATTTCCACAAAGGTTTTAGGCAGCACAACAATTTTTAACATTGATAAAAAGAAAGGTTTCTTGAGCAGCAAATCAGCATATTAGAATGATTTCTGACGAATCGTGTGACACTGAAGACTAAATGTAATTATGCTGAAAAATCAGCTTTGCCATCACAGGAATAAATTAAATTGTAAAATAAATTAAAATAGAAAACATTTATTTTTAATTATTTAATATTTCACAATATTACCATTTTACTGTATTTATGACTACATAAATGCGACCTTTCAAAACCAATGATGACAAAGTTTTGAATTGGCCAATATACTGTATAATAATATTAGATATAAGTAAATTTATATATAGTCATATAGTTAGTTTTTGTAAGACTTATTACTCTACCAAACTCTGCATTGAATAAACCATTTCCTGTCAAGGTGCAAAAAATATGGGGGTTTGCTTAAACCATTTCTAACTTTTCCTGATGAAAAAACTATTTTCAAGATGTATGACCTTACATATCATTGGCTTATTAAGTATAATTGGTGTAAGACTGTGTTGTGGTAATTAGAAGCCCTTGACGCAGCATTTGAATGTCCTGTGTGTGTTTTCAGGCCAACATGCTGCACGATCGCTTGGCTCAGATATTTGAACTCACCATTCGGTAAGTTGACATTCCAGAAAGTAGAATATTTACTTATAATGTTTGTCATCTAATATTTCAGCGTGAACTGATATTTGATTGGTTGTTTTGTTTTGTTTCTTATCAGCCCTCCCCCGAGCCCATCGGGCACCGTGACGGTGACATCAGGCCATGCCCAGTACCAGTCTGTGCCAGTCTATGAAATGAAGTTCCCTGACCTCTGCGTCTACTGAACCACGATCTTTCACCTTAACTCTATCACACAGACTCAACCTTGACATGTGACCACTGAACTTTATCACACTTTATGTTTGGTCCTGTGACCTTTAACTCACCTGAGCCACTCATCTTCATTAGGCACCTTTCACTATAAACGTCACATACATTCATGTCCAACAGAGAGAAGGGGTGCGAACTGGACAAGCGCGTCATGCCTCCATTCTGCACCAATCAGCACGCAGACTTTACAACCAGCTGTCCAATCATACACCAGCTCTGTAGAATCATGTGAATCTTATGTGTGTGGTTTTCAGTTTGATTCTTGCACTAAAAGGCAGCTCTAGGAATCAAACTGAGTCTTTTGAACACTTGATTCTTCAGCTTCTTAATGTATTGATTCATAGGAGTCATTTAGAAAATGGCTCGCTCTGGCTGCATTAAGGGAACTTAATTGCTAGCATTAATTTAAGTGCTAGTTTATTTTTATTAACTCATTTCTAAGCCATCATCAGGAGAGAGATTTGAACGTACAATAGGTTTCTGCTCGCTTGAATCTCTCCTATATAAATGATTATAGTGTATAGTATAGGCTATTTTTGACAGATATATATATACTTTTAGATGAACTGATTGCTGATAGTTGCAGAGTGTTGTGTTCTGTTTGCATGGCTTAGCCAATGTTTCACTGCAAACGTTTGTGAGTTTAGGCCTTTATTAATCTACAATTAGCCTTTAACTTCGATGTTGTGGATGTCAACGGGGCTTTTGTTCACCCAGAGTTCTTAGTGATCACTATGCTCTCCCATTTTGCCTTCACTGTATAGAGAAACCAAAACATTTGCTTTTCATCACCAAAGAGCTCTGCCCATGCCCTTCCTTTATGGCCACACACGGCTGCCAATCAAATCTTGAGCCAATCAGAAACTGAATTGTCTTTGAGGGCGGGAATACCGCAGTGTTTTTGAACTCAAACCTCAGATCAGTTTCTAGAAAACTGGGAGCCGAAAAATCATTATTCATTACAGCGAGGTGGTCTTTCTGCTGGACCTTAGGCCTGTCGCACCTCCTACGGTGCCTATGGTGGACTATGCATGGCAGGGGCGTCCTCTTCCCTGAGGCAGGCCTAACCCTGACCGCATACCACGTGGTTTTCTGCAGGGTCTTCAGCTGGGGACCACCGCTCATTGACGTTTTGCCCCTTAACCCAGAACATGGATATCAGTGTTAAAAAATTATCTGCATTCATCAACCAGCTGTTTTTACATCGAGCCACAAAGGCGTTAAAATGCTTTTTTTTTTGCTTTTCAGATAACTTTTTTTCATCTACCTTGGACAAAAAATGTGTCATGCTGAATTCTTACAATTTATTTGTGACTGTTAGATGCTGAAATACTTTGCTGGAAATGTTTCACATCATCTGTGCTTCCTGTGGTGAGAGCTGTGATCAATTTCAGTTGCGTTTAGCTGGTAGAAACGTGTCTATGCACAACCGTTTAAAACATTTTGGTTGATTCTGAGGTGCTTTTCATGGATTCTGGGGGTTTGTTGTCATATGATTGGCTTGTCTTTGTTTTGTGGATGGAACGGCAAGTGAACGGACAGGTGTTTATTCTGCAGATTTGGTGCATTTGTATGCTGATTATGGATGCGATGCTGTTGCCATTTTTTTTTGGCCTGTGAAATCGGTGGTCCGACTGTTTGTGACCAGAGACTTGCACTGCATTGTGGGATTTGTATGCACAGAAAGTAAAGAATGTCTTGAATTATTTAAAGGTTAAACCTCAGAGGTGGCTTGTTCTAAATTCGCAATAGGATCAATTATATGTCTCCTATCATTTCCATAATATCCGAGTTGATGACTGCAAGGTGGAAGATTTTCTGATCTGTCCAGTCTGTTTTGAAGTGTTTTGAAATGTTAATGGAAGGATTTCGGTGAAAAAAGTTGGTGGACAGGAAATAGTCAGTAGTTGACCTTTGGCCGTTGTGTTTTTCTCTCAGTAACTTGCTACATTTCAGTAGAAGTTGCTTTGCGACAATGTGCGTAAAACGCTATGATGAAATCAGGCACATTATTTCTGTAGAAATATAAGATCATAAATAATTTCTAGAATAATGCAATATATTTTTGGTGTAATATGAAATAGGAATGTGTTGTTTCTCCGACACATCATCTGTAATGCACCTTTAGGGGTGTGTGTGTGTGTGTGTGTGTGAAAGGGATACAATAAGTCTATTTTTTTGCATGCTGTTTTTGTTTTACATCAGTGAAGGGAAATCTTGTTAAGGGTCTTACTGTAACTGCAAATATAATTTTTAGTGTAATTCACAAGATATGTTTTATTTTCATCCACAGTGGAACTGTACTTTAGTATTTATCACATGGTTTGTCTGAAACTGATCTTTAGTTCCGTTTTATCTGTAACTCAACAATGATTTTCATTTTTATTTTTTCTGTTTGAATGGGAGAAAGGTAAGATGCGTTAGGTTTCATGTTGATGGTGATGTGTCGATATGGAATAGAAATGGTTTTGTAGTCTTCTGTGTGAAGATAGTCCAGAGGACAGGCGTATGTCTACATGCATCATGCTAGATTTGAAATGTGTAATGGTACGAACCACTGCAGTGTTGCTACAATACATGATTATAAAAGTTCCCATGAAATCTGTTAATTAGCCATATTCAGGTTCGCTGTCTGACAGTGTCTGCCACATTAATGTGCAATGAGATTTTATGTACGAGATCTTAGTCTTAATAAAGATTTTGTATTTAAATACTTACTGTTTCTGTTATCTTTTGTAAATTCTCATCAGAGAAGGCCACACATTTTTTTTAATTAAAATCAGTTTAAATTCAAAATATCAAAAACTACTGTATGATGTACAGTATACTTACAATTGTACCTAAATGCACTTTTAAATAATATTTAAATAATGTATAATTTATTTCACATTACAGTACTGAAAATTATATTTTTTGCATTACATTACAGAAGGCTACTGAGAATTGGGTAAAAATTCATAGAATGTTTCTTCAAATAGGCTTCTTTTTCACTTTATGCAATTATTTAATTTATTTTAATTTATTTTATTTTTATTTACTTTTGTGAAACATGACATGACATTTCTTGATATTTTTCATGAGATTCACCTGGACATTTTTTGTTTGTTTTTGGCCTTGTCATTTGTGATTAATTAAAATAAGCTAAAATAAAATATAAATATTAGATGAAAAACTTAGAAACTACATCTTGAAAAAAATCTAAAATAAGTTTAAGCTGAAGTATAAAAATTACTAAATGAAATAAAACTCATTTTTACATACTGCCTTTATTTTTAATTACACAGACATCAGTTAAAAGTTGATAAAAAAAACAAATACTGAGAAATATAAAAATTCAACTGCTGGCATTTATGATCCAGCATACAAACAGTCTTTTAATAGGTCAAGCACCAGCAGAGGAGGAGCAGCAGATCTTGGGTGATCTTTTGTGGCCGCTGGATACTGAGTGAGTTCAGACTGAGCTAAACTTTTCATTAAATGTGCATGACATCCTTTCTGACTGATTCTTCTATTTAGAGCTCCCTGAAATTATAAAAATTATAGAACTGCCTCATTCTACTGCTCCAATTCTTCTTCTTCTTCTTCTTCTTCTTCCTCCTCTTCTTCTTCTTCTTCCTCCTCCTCTTCTTCTTCTTCCTTTCCTGGCTCCTCCTCTTCCTCCTCTTTGATGTCCAGTTCTGGTTTGCTGTGTGTGGGGTTTTTGTCGAGTGCAGGTGTGTGTGAGTTCATTTGAGGCCGAGCTGGGGTCATTTCATTGCTCTCCTCACTGGAGTCCTGACTGGCTGATTGTGCTGAAGAATGAGGCTTACGATGGCACGGTGGGTGGGGCCCAGAACACGAGGAGGTGACTGAGTGGTTGTAGTGTGAAGCCGCCATGCACTCGGCGGTCGAACGATCGCAGACGCACTGCAGTCGATCACACACACTCACACCTGAACCTGACACACATACACAACACAATCATTAACACAAAACTGACCTCCAAAGAAAATGTTCGTAATTGTACTATTTTTGAAGTAGTTTTTGCATGCATTATGTGTGTGTGTGATGCCATACATCCAGGCTTTCCATTGTGGCAGCTGATGTGAGCGTTGAGTTTTCTGTTTTTCCTGCAGCCCAGAACAATGAGCTGCTCCAAACAGCACTGCTGCAGAAAACAGCACCTGACACAGAGACATGTCAGAGACAGACTCAGGACACAACAGAGCTTCACTGAATTTAATTGTCTGTGTGTACATCTATATATATATATATATACACTGCCACTCAATAGCTTGGACACCCCTAACTTATTTTGTGTTTCTTATGATCTTATTAAAGCTTTTGATTGCTTAAATGCTTGAAAAGAAATGATTGATTTCTTTATAAAACATACATAGTGGATTTTAGTTTTTATACTAGATATAGATTGATTCAAAAGTTTGGGGTCAGTTATATTTTTTTAATGTTTTTGAAAGTCTATTCTGCTCACCAAGGCTGCATTTATTTGATCAATTATTGTAAAACGATATACAGTAAAACAGTAATATTATGAAATATTATTACAATTTAAAATGGCAGTTTTGTGTTTGAATATATTTAAAAATGTATTTTATTTCTGTGATGGCAAAGCTGAATTATCACTATCATTACTTAAGTCTTCAGTGTCACATGATCCTTCAAAAATCATTCTTATATGTGACCCTGGACCATAAAACCAGTCTTAATTCGTTGGGGTATATTTGTAGCAATAGCCAAAAATACATTGTATGGGTCAAAATTATAGATTTTTCTTTTATGCCAAAAATCATTAGGATATTAAGTAAAGATCATGTTCCATGAAGATATTTTGTAGTTTTACTACCGTAAATATATCAGAACTTTGATAATTTTTGATTAGTAATATGCATTGCTAAGAACTTAATTTGGACAACTTTAAAGGCGATTTTCTCAGTATTTAGATTTTTTTACACCCTCAGATTCCAGATTTTCAAATAGTTCTATCTCAGCCAAATATTGCCCGATCCTAACAAACCATACATCTATGGAAAGCTTATTTATTCAGCTTTCAGATGATGCTCAAGAAAGAAGAAGATGTTAAAAACGGATGTGTGCTGCTCAGTAAGTTTGTGGAAACTGATACATTTTTTTTCAGGATTTTTTTTTTAAGGAATATTTTGAAACAGTATAAATGTGTTTACTATCACATTTCATGAATTTAATGCCCCCTTGCTATACAAAAGTATTCATTTAAAAACATTATTATAAATATAAATATATATACAAAATATATAAATATAAAAAAATAAAAAAATTATGGACTCCAAACTTTTGATAACTGCTTGTCCTAACTTAAACTGAAGCATTTTTTCCAGTGAAGATGTGTGTGTTTGTGTGTTCTGACCGGTCCAACTGGTCCACTGGGTTTCCTGTCCCCTGCTGTCCACAGTAGCAGCCGTAGTGTTGATACTCACGAGGACATCGTCCGGTCAGACAGTACAGCATTTCTCCCAGCGCAGACATGTCCCTCAACACCTGACCAGATGCACTGTACTGGAGGAAAGAAGTGCTGCACTCTACAAACACACACACATACACACACACACACAGATTAATCCAACCACACTTCTTTGATTTTGGCATCTTGTCATTTCTCTCATCATTTCTGTGTCTGTTTGTTACTTATCCAATATAAGTATGTTTACATGCATAATAGTTTGATTTCAGCTGTACTAAAGCATTAATTTGCCTTTTTAAATTGCCATGTAAACTGTTTAGTCTGACTGAAAATATACCAGGCAGTTTTGTGCAGTCAGACTAACAGACCTACTGTAAGTAATGCTTTGTGCAGCATGAATACAAGTTAATCAAACTACAACTGGCTTTGGCTTTGTGTGGATGTGCTGAAAAACAGAGGTGATGTGTATTTAAGGCAAGACACTACAGGCAAAACTGTTATTTTTTCACAAAGATTTTAGGCTTTTTTGCCTTCATAAGTTTTTTTTAGACTAGTGGAAAGATGTATGTATGTAGCTGTATGTTTTGTCCATTTTCTCTATATTTCTTACCTTCAGAGTCGTCTTGCTGCTGCTGCTGCAGATCTGACAGTCCAGCAGCCTCCAATAAAGACCAGGCAAAGAGCGGCGGCGCCCGTCTCCGGACCCGGTGAGACTCTGAGAAACACACACAAATACACACTGATTTCTCTGGAGTACAGGAGGATGTGCAGGAGTGTTTGGAGAATAGCTTAACCTAATTTACCCAAGCAGGACAAGTTCTTGGATGAATCCTGCTACAACATTACCATACCAATCAACCAATTCGATTTTAGTTACAGGGTCTACCAATCATTTTCCTCTGATTTCACAAACAAGTTTGGACTCTTTTCACAGTTCTGGGGTTCTCGAAGTGAAAGTGGTCATTATTGGGTAAACTTCTATAGTGGTGAACAGAAACTACTGGGTGTAAGAAAATATCGATACACGTGAGTATCGCAATATTTTGTTTGGCGATACTGTATCGATTCTCAAAAACGCGATATTGATATTTTCAAAAAATGTATACAAGATTCAAGGCCATTGTTTCGTTTTGAGTTTATATCCCGACCGCTAGATAGCAGTCTTCTTACCTCTGAACTTAAGACAGTGACAAGGTGTGACAAGGTTTGTCCAGTCCCGCCCACTCCCGCAAACATTCTAATATTGCACATAATTTTCGCGTATCAGGGAGCCGCTATCAATGGGGAGTATTTAAATCTCTTTTGAATGAGCGCTTGCGCTGTTCACTTTCACTTTCGATTTCGCGATCACGCGCACTCTGTGTAAAGGCAGCACATCTTACGATATAAGATTTTGTCAATAAGCTCCGGATCCGTTGAGTAGCAAATTCTCCACCATGGTCTTGTAGGTCATCCCTCCTCTCGACCCATGATCAGTCAAATCTGACTCCTGCAAGCACTTAATTGTTCCCCCTTTACTCATACTGCACAAAAAGTGGTTCAGTAGCGTTGAATGTTACAGGGACAGATTAATGCAAATGCAGATGCCAAATCCAAAATAGTGTTTCAGTGACAAAAGAAGAGAGAAGAGAGAATGTCAAATTTGCCATCACTCCCTCATCTGTTGTATTGGAAACAGCGTTAATCAGTTTTCTGTAATTTAATGCCAAGGTAATAAAACAAAAGCATAGTGTTATAAATCAAAATTATTATTTTTTTAAAACTGAAGATATAAAACATTTTGCTAGGTTAACTGTGAAAATGCGTCATGACATCCTTATATCAACCTAACTGACCATTTTCACAGACTGCTGAAACAGGAACATGCCTGCTTGGTTAACTCATATTGTTTTTACGTGGATTGTCACTATTACCAATTTTCTCTGATTCCTGTGAGCTGTCAGATGGCTCTTCCTCTTCCTCTTTCTCCTGCTCCTCTTCCTCAGCGGACTCCTGCTGAGCTGTAGTGGTCAATGACGGTGCTCGATCCAGGGCAGGAGGTTTCTGGGGACGAGGGGCGGTTTCAACAGCAGCGAGGCCTGATGTTGTGGTCCGTGTGCTGACGGGTTTGTGAGGAGCCGCAGATGTGGTCTTGTGGTTCTTAGTTAGTTTTGCAGCTGTGTGAGCTGTTGGTCTTGGTGATACGCTGTGAGGTTTAGGGAACAGCGCTGGAATGATCCACGTGGATAGACTGAGCTCTCTGACCCTGGATGGGATCACAGTGGTTTGGGTTTTCACTGATTCATCTTCTTCTTTATCACTTTGTAGATCTTCCTTACTATTTTTCTTGTGCCTTTCATCCTCTTCAGATAGAGATGGCTTTGTGTTGGCTTGTGTTTGAGTTGTCAGTTTGGTTGTGCTAGAGTTGCCTATTAAGTCACTCTCTCTGTCAGTCTCTTTATCTTCCTCACTCTTCTTCTCCAATATCTCTTTTTCCTCACTTCCTTTCATTAATGTGCGTTGCACCAAAGTGGTTGCAGCTACTGTGTTTTTATTGGTAGCTGTTGGCAGGGTTGTTTTGTGATGTGAGTATTGATTGGTTGTTATTTTAGTGGGTGTGGTCATCAGAATTATATAAGGGCTTTGACTGGCTTCTTCTGTTTCTATGTCACTCTCTGTCATTTCCTGTTCCTCTTCTCTCTCCTCTTGTGACTCATCACTCTTTTCCTCTGATGTGATGTGTAAAGGTGGGCTGACATACGGTTTAGCAACGTCACTTAGGTCATTAGTTGTAGTATGTGTACCAGCTGTGTGTGTAGTATGTGCTGGTGCAGGTGACTGAAGTGTGTCTTCATCACTCTCGTCATCCTCCTCCTCAGATGATTGTGTGTGAGTTGTTGGTGTTGTGTGGGGTGTATAGTGAGGGGTGTGTGTGTATGTATCTGGTGATTCTGTGACAGTCTGTGATTCTGTTGTTGCAGTTAGCGCTATTTGAATAGTCAGCTCACCTGTCATAAAACCAAAATATTACAGTCAGAAAACATGCTGAATGTTGTAATGAGGTCATTTGCAAATTAATTTTCCTGTATAAGAAATGCTCACTGTTTGTGCTCCACTCCATTGCATTGTGGGTTGTAGGGATTTCTTCTTCCTGTTTGTCTCTGCCCGGCTCTTCTGTCGTCAGCACTGCAATAACTAAAATACAGAAAGTAATTAAATATTTATTTATATATTATAATAATTGTATAATTTAGTCCTCATTGACTTTCATTATATAAACAAAACAGTTGAAACATCCTTCAAAATATCTTCTTTTGTGCTGTTCAGAACAGTATTGTTTTTAACTAAAACTACAACTAAAACTATTAGATTTTTTTTTAATAAAGTTGAAATAAATTTAGTCCTCACTGACTTTTATTATATAAACAAAAACAGTTGAAACATCCTTAAAAATATATATTTTTTGTGCTGTTCAGAACAGTATTGTTTTATTAACTAAAACTATTAGGTTTTTTTTTAATAAAGTTTAAATAAAACATTTTAAAAAATTTAACTTAAAAAATTTACAAATAAAATAGAAATGTTGCCTTTGCAACTAGCAGAAATAAAATAAAAGTTAAAGTTGAAGTATTAATATTACTAAAATTAAAACTGAAATAAATATAAATTAAAGCTAAATAACTATAATAATTTTTTAAAATTATATTGAAATTAAAATGAAAAGTGTAAAATATAAAAATATCATACAAAATTAAAAAATAATTATAAATATTAAACAATACTATAATAGTATATAAATAATGCTAAAATAACACTGGTGCAGACAATAGAATGTCATACACTCTTGGAAGCAAATGAGGGTGAGAAAATGATGCAATAATTTTCAGTTTTGGGCGAACTATCTCTTTTAATGTGTTTACACATATTGCATTCTTGTTTGAAATAATTATTGTAGTAAATGAGTCTTGCTTCTGATACTTAGTGTTCTTATTGGGCAATTTATGCCATTGGTTCTTGATTTAGGCTACATCTTTATTCACTACATATAGACTTTCTTTCTTTATTTTAAATTGCTTAATTAAGAATTAGTAGAAGCCAGCATCTACAAAAAGGAAAGTAACAGAAATGCTAAGAGCCTTACTTGAACCCAAGCTGTGGGTTTTAAAGGCTTGTCGTCATTTAGAATAATTTGATCACATTTGATCAAGTGTTTTTTTGAACAGTGAGCAGTGAGTGTACTGGAATTTCAAAGAAGTCCTTGATGTACTGTACAAGCCGAGATAAATTTGTTTGTGACTAGCTAAAAGCTCAAAATGCATAAACCAACACAGTGCATCTGAGGCTGTAACTCAGGCTGTAAAAAACAGGACACTCTTACCATCCTCATATTCCACTGCCTCCTCTTCCTCTCTCTCAACTATACTTCCTCTCTCTGAGTTTCTGTCCATTTCTCTTTCCTCTGCTTCATTCTCCTCTTCCTCTGGACCTGAAGATGAGGTTCAGCTTAGATCAGTGAAGTCTTTAGGTGGCTGAGGATTACTGGAGTTCTCAGAACTAGCGATGTGAGGGAAAAATCACCCTCTGGGCTACAGAAAGGAGTCTAAATATAAGTTCAGTGAAGCGCTTTACCTGACTGAAATATCCCAGGGTACTTTGTGCTCTGGATATTGCTGCTCTGAGAGCCATTAACCAGCACCAACTCATTGGTGAAGTTAGTCACAGTCTCATTCAGTGTTCCATTAAGTCCTGAAGACAAAGAGTAAAAGAGGGAGGAATTTTTTGTGATATCTAAAGATATCCTTAAGAACAGAGTGTATCTTGTTCACTAATAATTGCTAAAGGTTTCTCATGTACACAGAAACTGTTCTTATGCAAAATTCCAGCTGGATTTTCATCGTGTATGCACGTGATCTTATTTATTATAATATTGCTACACTCCACTATATATTTGATTTAAATACAGTAAAAACAGTAATATTGTGAAATATTATTACAATTTAAAAGAACTGTTTTCTATTTGAACATATTTTAAAATGCAATTTATTCCTGTGATGCAAAGCTGAATTTTCAGCAGCCTTTACTCCAGTCTTCAGTGTCACATGATCCTTCAGAAATCATTCTAATATGCTGATTTGCTGCTCAAGAAACATTTCTTATTATTATCAAGTTGTGCTTCTTCATATTTTTGTGGAAACCATGATTTACAAGATTCTTCAATGAATAGCAAGTTCAAAAGAACAGCAAATATCTCGTAATATATCAATTGTTTAAATGTCTTTACTGTCACTTTTGATCAATTTAATTCACCATTGCTAATTTCCTATATATATTAAAAAAAAAAATTATATATCTTATATAGCTATTTATAAATGCATATATGTAATTTTATAATTATTTAAAAACTATTATATTTATTGATATATTTGTTTATATTAAATGATTCCATATTTTTGTGCATTACCATAGAACATGATCTCCATGTCGATGTCTGATGGAGAAAGCTCCACCCTGTCTGAGACACAAACCACACTGTTAGATGATCAGCGTAACTAAATCTCTCTCCCATTCTCTTATGTTTGGATAATCTATTATTTCCCTCAAACATGTTTTTAAATGGCTGGGGCCGACAAGTAAGTCATTAATACTAAAAAGTCAAGTCATTCATACAGTATACTGTATAAAGCACATTTAAAAAGCAACAAAGTGCTTTACGGCTATTACAGATATACAGGCAACAATGAAGAGAACAAATTAAAAAAAAGATAAAACAATGAACTAATGTGGGTCTAAACAGCCTCACCTGTTCCATTGACCATATCACTAGTATAGGTATCATTATCAGGTAGATCCGTCACAAAGGGAGAGTCTGAAGGGAACATGAAAGAGAAAGGAAAATGTTCTTAAGCTGTAATGTAATATATTTTTCTGAACACACCTGCTGTTACTGTACCTGTCTGTGCTGTGATTGGTTGGTTACCTCCAACCTGTTTTGTGACTGGATGGTTGGAGCTGATGCAGTCTATAACCATCTGATCACAATGACAGAATCCTTCCTCACAGAAATCCAACATATCTGCAAATATTGGATACAGAATTAAGGTCAACCAACTGTTTTCTCCACTTGATAGATGTAACTTAATCATGTCATATAAATACTATACTGGTTAGCGACTCTATAGACAGTGCTTTTGTAGGGCAAAACCCAGAAACACTTCTGATTCCATTGTCTTTAAGTCATTGGGCATTTTACATATGCCGAGTGTAGTTAGGTTTCAAAATTCTTAGAAGGTGAGTTGTTAAGATTGTCATGATGAACAAAATGTTTAAAAATGATAAATGTTTGTTTGTCACAGACCTTTTTTTAAGAAATAGAAAAATGCTATTGGGTTTTTGTCGAAAGGAACCAGGGTGATTTTAAACCCACAAAATTATGTTATCACTGCAGTGCTCTATAAGCAGTGTTGGGGGTAACTCATTACAAGTAATGCGAGTTACGTAATCAGATTACTTTTTTCAAGTAACTAGTAAAGTAACACATTACTTTTTTAATTTACAAGAAAATATCTGAGTTACTTTTTCAAAAAAGTAACGCCAGTTACTTGGTTTTCCCATTTATTGACTGACAAGTCTCCTGATGCATTACTTTTAAAAGTAACTTTCCCCAACACTGTCTATAAGCATATAGTACAAATATTTGTTATCCCTTAGTTGGAAATAACTTCCTTTAAGGCTCTTTGAAAAGCGAAAATCTGCCATGAAAATGTTTTGAAAAAATGTGTAGCCTACCACAGCTGGAGTTGTAGCTGCAGGTGTAGTTGTTGTATGTTGGTATCCTCCGACTGCAGTTTCTCTCCTTTAGCTCTTGAGAACATCTCCAGTGGGTAAAACAACACCTACAACACAATCACATTCATTTATTTGTGTATTTTTATTTATAAAAATAAAAAAAATATCATTACAAAAATGAAAGGAAATGAAAACATTAATGTCCTCTGATCTCACCATAGATTGTTCTTGCACATGTGGGTGTATGTGTGTGCCTTTATATCAAATTGAATATATGTGTGCATTTATATTAATATATGCACTTTAATATAAAGTGCGTGTTTGTTTTTTTACACACTTCACTGCTCTGTCTGTTTTTATTTTTAATATCCTTTCACCAACTGCATAGAGAAGCAGCTGAACAGACAGAAAGAGGGGTGAGAGCAAGAGATGAGTGTGTGTGTGTGTGTGTGTGTGTGTGTGTGTGTGTGTGTGCACGCGCGGACTCCACCGTGAAGTTAATAAATCCATTTAAAATCTTTCTACCCCCTCCTGAGTCTAATTTCATCCGCTTCCCATCTCTCACCGGTCGAGTGTGTCGGCGGGCTGTACGTGTTTGCGCGCGGTGTCCCGTGTGTTTGCGTTGCTGCAGTAATGTCCGTGATTGTCGATGTCCGCGGGACAGAGTCCGGTCTCACACTGCAGACTGACTGCGAACTCCAGCACCGACCGCAGGTCATCAAACACAGCGTACAGCCAGGTGAACCGCACACCCAGACAACCTGTACGTCAAACACACACGAACAATCATCTATTTTAACGATAAACGACTAATATGTGGTTTAATTATATATTATGGAAATTATATAAATAACGTGTCCGTAATAATTTCTCCTGGGCGTTTGTTCGATTGTTAAAGGAACTCACCAATCAGAAGCTCATCAGAACTGAGGTCACTTGCTTCTGGGCAGAAAACAGCAGTGCCATGAACTGCACAGAGAAAAGTTTGTCGTAAATTAATGTGTTTGACATAGATAATTAATTCATAAGTTATCATCACCATATCATTCCAATAAACTGAATAAGTGCAATGCAGTGTACTATGTCAACAGGAATATAAGAATTTTTGCCCCAAAAATGGTAGGAAATCTTAGACTGTCTAGCACATAATGCATAGGGCCTGTTTTAGACGGCCAATAAAAACTTTTCTTATTCACACTATTTTTTTGGTATTACTTTATCTCAAGTTACTTAATATAATCCAATCCTACACTGTTCAGTATATATATATATATATATTTTTTTTTTTTTTAATTTTTTTTTTTTTTAATTGTTAATCTGACAAATCTGAAAAAAAAAAAACTATAAACTCAGTTTCACAACAAATTAAGCAAAATATATGTTTAGTCAAGCAACAAACCTAAAAAATAACCTCTCCAAATATTGCAAAATAAAATTAAAAAAATATTGCAAAATATTATTTTGTTTTATGTTTTTAAAACATACTTTTATAATGCGCAGTGAGTTAAAGGTTAATGAACTGGCAGTTTCTTTCTGTTAAAAAAGTGCATTCTGAACAAAACAAATTGTAGAATTTGATACTAAGTATAGTTGTAGGTACAATTTCATGTTAAACATGTCAAAGGATTTTTATCACTGAATATTGACTGTTAAAATAACTGGCAAATAAAAACAGTATTATTATGAAATATTCCTACATTTCTTTCTTAATATACAGTACTGTATGTTAAAATATAATTTATTCCTGTGGTGGTAAAGCTGAATTTTTTTCAGCAGCAATTACTCCAGTCTTCAGTGTCACATGATCCTTCAATCATTCTAATATGCTGATAAAAAAGTGTAAGAACTAAAAATAATTATCATGTAAATTTCAGTTTCAAGATGATGAACTCACTTTCACCTACACCTTTGCTCCTGACAGAAGAGTGTTTACATATTCTCACCTTTCTGCAGGGTGAAGAGGAGAAAAAGATACAGCGGCCTCATCTTTATCTGCTACTAAACAATCAGTTGTACCATCCAAATATTCTTAGGTTCAGTCCAGCACAGTGAAGAGGCCAAACCAAGAGCTTCAGCAATTGGAGACACATTCATCCAAACTCGGTGCTTCGCAATCTCCTTCTAATGCAGGTGCGTGTAAGAGATGAGAAAATAATCCCAAAATGAACAAAGGCCTATTTAGGACACTCTAAAAGTTCAAAGGGCAAAAGGCAGGGTGGTCACCATAGTAACAGGGCTGCAGGAAGTATACACTCTTTAGGTCACACGTGAAGAGATGAAGTGGGATCACACACACACACACACACACACACACATACACAGACCTTCTATAGCTCTCTTTTATGCAGGGTAAAGGTCCTGACCCCAGCTGAGAAATTACCTCTTTAAACAACTGACCATTGTGTGTATGTGGACAGGAACTCAGGTAAGGATCAAACAGAAAGTGGGGGTTGTAAATGATTCTTTGTGTCCTTTTGGTTTCTAGGGAGTTTGAAATAAGCTGCTGCTAACAAGGCAATACTCTAATAAACTCTAAAAATACATAGCACGCACAAATATTAGGTGTATTAATCCATTTTTAATGACAGTGAATACATTTTAGCGATACCTCTCAGTACTGAATGGCTTTTATGGATATTTTTATATAAACATTTCTCCCATCTCGTTCACCATAGGGGTATTTTTTTTCTTTCAGATGATTTTTGTGTGTTTGTTGGTGTAACACTACATCAAAAATAAAACACGGGTAAATATGTTTGGTTTTATTTATATTCAGGAGAAACAAAGTGCAATTTGGACACTAGATGTACAGACTATACAGATTCAATGATGACAATGCAGTTCAGTGTTTAACAGAACCCAGTTTCTCTCAAACATACTGTACATTAATTTCAGTTCAGATGGTTCAGATGTGTCACCCTCAGTTCTCGTCTTACATCTTCACACACATTCTTGCCAGACATTTCTGTTTCAGATCTGAGAGAGAGAGAGATTGTGATTTTATTAGTAAAAAATTGCTTCAACATGAACTTTGAATCGAAGTAAAAAGATGTTTGTCATTGTAATCTTTCATGAAAATGTAATAAGACCAATTAAACAAGTCTCTGCTGAATAAACTCTAATTTACTTTTTTTTAATTTAATTGTAATTTTAATTTATTTGTAAAATATGCAGGAGTCCTATTGGAATTTCTATCCTATCATGATTAAGAAACATTCACAAAGCATTATAACTCGTTTTTTTTAGCATTTTTATTGCTTTTTGTTTTTTAAGTTTCTAATAAGATTATTATAACAATATAATACATTTTCCTATATGACATTATAATTAACATAAGAAAACCTGTGTGAATCCCTTTAACTATTCAGTAGCAAAACATTCCAATACAAGTAAAGTTACTATAGAGAATACTCAATATCTCAATATCATCCTGTAGGACATTTTATTCTTATTTGATCCCATTAGGATCTTTCAGGACTGATTCCAAATTCTGTACATATTCCTGTAGGATTTACCCTTAGATGACTGGTGTATTATTGGTGCTTTTCTGCTTCATCAGCACATGTCTGACATCAGACAATTATATTTGACGATGGTTGTGTGGTAGGTAAACAAGGCACTATATGTGGCCTCAAATGCCACGAGATTCTCAAGCCCTTGAACTAACTCTATAAACATGTTTAACAGCAGCAGCCTGTGACTTATTCTTCAGTTTCCCCGCTGAAGACACACTACAATCAAGTGACTGTCTGCAGCCTATTTCATCTTATTCTATCTTTGTCCAGTACAAAACACACACTCTTCACCATCATTAAGACTGACCTTACACATCATTAGTCCTGTAGGAAGAATGTTTTAATGGGATCACACACACACACTTTAATGAGTAGAGATCCACATGCAGGTATTCAGACACACACAAACAAATTCTTTAATGAGGTTGCAGTGACCTGTGTGTGTGTGTGTGAGAGAGAGAGGGAATGATAAAATGATCTTAGTCATTCACTCATCAAGGAAAACATCCAATGTCTCTTTGCTCAGACACACGTTTAACTAGTAGCTTTAAATAACCCAGAACAATTCACTGAGAAACACTAATGAAGATATTAATGATAATGATAATAGTAACGACCCTTTTATGGGATATTAAAACTTCAGCTAAGAACAAGAATAAAACTTTGTTAACTACAGTATTGTAGAAGAAATGATACATGGTTTTCAATAATCTCAAATTTCTTTCTGTTGCCACTGATGATTTTAATGAACTTTTAGTGAAAGTCTGTGATGTATATTTGTATATGATAATATGATAGTTGTATATTTTATTATATGATAGCATGTTTTGATTTGTTTGCTGTTAGGTTTGATAATTTGATTTTGTGTAACTCACTTTTGGAAAAAGTGACTCTCCTCATACGACTGCAGACCTCTGCTGTATGTCTCTCATACCAGCGATGGCTATCCACACAATATCTGTAGAACAAAATATTGACTTTTTTGTTTATACCATCAACAATATTGAGGATACACACAGAATTACTGTCTTACTCCACGATACTATTAATTTTATAAATAAAACTGAATAATTTATGAATTTATTTCAGTGGGGTCCAGAAGTCTGAGACCACTAATGCTGAAAACAGTTTTGATTTTCACTTTTGTAAAATGTAATATTTGAGTGAAAAAAATGAATGTGTTCATTTTTGCCTTAATGACAGCAGCACTTGTGAATTCAAGTGAATACATTTTGTGTGCTTCAGTGGAAGCAAGGAAACCTTGAACAATGGAGGTCATACAGTCAGTGTCACAAATCTGATAAGTGACTTAGAAATATTGTAAAATCTTAAAACTGTATTATACATTAAAAAAAAAATGAAAATCTTTGTTTATTAACACACTTTAATTCTCAGACTGTCAATGTGAATTCAGACTTTTGGAGCCCACTGAACTTGCAAGTGTTCTAGCATGCATCTCTATTATTTATGCCCATTTTGTGACTTTAAAAGATGCCCTAAACAGTTGTTGAATGGTTGTGCAGTGCTGTACCGCTGTAACACTGCTGCTCTGTGACTGAATCCTCTGCACACACACTGAGAGTAAAACTTGCACAGCTCAAACACACATGGCTGCAGCTTCACTGAGCTGATGGTCGCCCTGCCCCAGATCAGCTCCTCTTCAAGGGTCTCTTTCAGGTCCTCTTTCTCACTTCCTTGATGAAATAGCTCTATTCTCCATGGACATCCTGTCAGAAAAAATTATATCATCACAAAAAGAATGAGGGAGAAAAAGCACCATCTCCAGAAATGTAGAAAAGATCAGTATGATAAGTTAGAATGGAAACTGATGTAAACTCTCCTTGTGAAATAAGATAATGCACCATATGAAAGGATTTCGAGATTTCCAAGTGCTTTTGAAAAGGAACATTTTCACAGCACATTGCTGTGCTCAGTTGGCTCTATATAGATATTTTACTTTTTATATGAATACTTTCTCCAGAATAATATACAGAGACTACTATAAGCAAGACATTTGTATGCCTACTTAACATAAAGGTAAATGCTGCTGCATCAATGCCGCTATCATGTAGGTGGCTTTATTTTTTTCTCTGAGCTTCTAAATGCAGCAACATTAATTCACCAATGGTGTAAATTTGGTGGCCGGTCTATATGTGTTGCTCCGCCCCATTACTACTTTCATTGGCTACATCATCTTTTATAACCATACATAATCAATAATCGCAATTGTGTACATACTTAGTGTAGGAGCCAGTGTTGGGGAGTAACTACTTACTTGTAATAGAAGTAGGTAATTTAATTACAAAATAAATGTAACTGTAATCAGTTACAGTTACTAAGAAAAAATGTGTAATTAAATTACAGTTACTTATGAAGATGTTGACAATTACAAAGGGGACTGCATCTGAATATTTTCACACACACACACACACACACACACACACACAGATTTAATTGCTTTCTTTGCCAAATTGCATTGACTGTTCTAAAATATGAGACACCAATGTTTCAGGAGTTTAGGACATGGAATAAGACATGCTTATTTGATAACTGTTTTATTTCCTATTTGGGTTTATGTATATGCTTTATTTTTTTGAATTAACTGTTTATTCCAAGGCATTGTTAGATGCTAGTGTTCCCCGTTATAGCTATGCAAAGATTTGATTTCAAAAACAGTATCATAGCTATTAAACTATATCTTATTATTTAAATCAGTATTTAACCTCAGAACAATCTCAAAGTAAAAAGAGAGGCTAAAGTTTGATTTTGTTGACTTAATTCAAGTGATGAAGGATTTTGAAAGTCTGACAGTAATCAGTGTCGACTAATACTACTGTAAGGTTAACCCTGCCTGCTTTAAATGTTTGAAAATTATTTACAGTTGAAAACATTCGGTAGAAATTTAGAAAAGTAATCAAAAAGTAATCAAATGTATTTAGTTGCATTATTTTTATAAAGTAATTGAAATAGTTACACTACAGGGCAACTTGTAGTCTGTAACCTATTACATTTCCAAAGTAACCTTCCCAACACTGGTAGGAGCTGAACTGTGAACACTGCAAACCACTTTAAAGCCGTCATTATAAAACAAACAAACAAACATTCACATGCATCTCGCAGTATCCAGATAAATAGATTAAATGAATTCGGAAATGTCTACTTGTCAGTGGTGGACAAAGTCAACAAAATATGTATTTGAGTTACCGTAAAGTACAGATACTCTGATGAAATATTACTCTAGTAAAAGTCAAACAGATATAGGTTCACTTGTTTTTATTTGGTGATGCTAGTGGTGCAGAAATTATGCGCTTCACAAGTAAGCAATGCTGTAAGATGCTACAGTGCCTCAGTGTATGGCAAGCCATTTTAACATTTAATGTTAAACCGCACTAGTACTAATTTAATGTTACTAGTACTTAATTTTTAGATACTAGTATTAAGTACTAGTACTTATTCATTAACTACTAGTGC